AGACAGACAGACAGACAGACAGACAGACAGACAGACAGACAGACAGAGCTGTGGCTACTTGCACTTGTTTTTTTTTCTCAGTCACGTACCTGAGGAAAATCAAGGAAAACCTAGCAGCCGTCCTTCATAGCTCTCCCATCAGAGTGAACACTGTTAATACCAGACTGAGAGGACATACAGGATTCTATTGTGCTACATTAGCATGAACCCTTTTTTTTTAACTAACATGCAGTGAAATCGGTCATTCTTTACAGTTGTGGTGATGCAAGAAGTTATAAAAGCTAAAGTGAGAAATTCATTGTAAGAGATAAAAAAGTCACTTATGACTTTGTTATATTGTCAATTTAATATATATCTATATTTACTAAAGCATTTAGCACAAAGCTCAGTAAGATCATTTGCTACCTGTCCACATTTATGTATTGCAAGCAAAAAAAATGGAAGAGACAGATAAACATACTGATGGTGAGTCATGAAATCAAACATTATGCACTTTGATGAGCAGAGGTTTTAGACAGGCAAGACAGCCTTTGATAATTTTGGTAACAACTTTAGGTTTTTAAATGTTTCTACTAATTAGAGTGAAATAGCGCGCATTCTGCTACAACTGTTCATAGAGCCCTATTTTAGGACATGGAAATCAACACTGCAATAATTCAAACTGGCAAGTGCTCCCAATCTTTCTTTTGAATTACACTCAACATATGGCATTTGTTAATCACACAAGGCCAAATTTGTTGATAAGGAATATGCAGTTTGTTGGGGTTTCTGTGTTGATTAATACAAGAAAATGAGCGTGATTGATTTTCTTTCCTCATTACTGATTATTTGTGCACGTCTTTCTTTTTTTGTACTGTTTGTTTTCATGAATTTAATCAGAAAGTAGGGGGCTAGGGGAGGTACATGACTTAACCTTTTATAGACCAGATTCGTGTTGTATCATATTGATTATTGTTGAATGCCTCTTTAGCCCTACCACGATGTTAATTTGTACTTTTTTAAAACTGTTGGAAAATGCAATCATGCCTGAATGCAATAAAAGGTGTCAATTAAAGAAAGAGCTGTCAAAAAAAACTTTCACTGAAAATGTCTCAGATGACAACACCAACACCTGATAGAGAGCAAAATAGCACAGTGGTTAGGTATATTGTTTGATTTTGATTTGTGTGTGTGTGAGAGAGTAATAAAAAGATAAACAGTCCATCAGGGTTTATGATTAATTACTACAGGCAGGCCAAGACAAGTCTGGTATGTTAAACATACAGGGGAGAGATAACAGCAAAAACACCTGTGCAGTAATGTGAGGGGACGTGTATAAAGAAAATTCTAGATTTGGGATGAGAATTTTTATGTATTTATTTATTTTATGTCTGTTTATCAAACCTTCTTAAGAACAAACTGAGCATCAGCTATTGTTGTTTATAGTGACAAAGAAAAGGGTGGACATTTTAAATTGGAAAATTAGAGATAAAATTAAGTCGATTCAGGGAGCCACACCTCCTCCCATTTAAATGCTAACAATATCATCCAAATCGCCACCTAACTTGCTATCACCAAGCTCACCTATTAATTATTTATCAAATTCTTTTAGCTCGTTAACATGCTAATTATTGATTTACATTTGCATACTGTAAGGTGTTTGAAACTATAAATTTGTACTCATACCAATCCCTGAGACTAAACTCTGTTAGTGGTTTACCTAAATGCCAACAATATTATGCAAATCTCTAGCGAATTTGCTGTTCCCAAGATCAAGCATTATTCATCAATCACCTTATTTTCGGCACAAAAACTATTTGTTTGCACTTACCTATCTGAGTAAAGTTTTTGGCACTATAATCTTGTGGTAATGCTAATCAGTGAGATAGACTGTTAGTGGTTTATGTAGATGCTAACATTGTTGTGATTTTGCTAATGTACTTAGGAAATGTTACCAAAGGCAAGCCATTGCTTCTCTCGTAGTGGTAATCAAGGAAATCTAACTAATAAATAAACACATATTTTTCACAAAATCTGTTTAAAACAGCCGCAGTATGCAGTCTCATTGGTGTGGATCATTGGACCTTTATGGGAGAGACTAGGCAATCATTTTTCTTCAGATGACTGCGAAAACACTAATTGTTAGACTTAAAAAACACTCTTTTGACAACGCGGCCTTCATTGTAAGAGACTACATTTCCTGGTTGTCTTGGTCACTTTTCAGTTAAAATGATAATATCACTCAATCAGGGTTAAAAAAGTTCAACATATGTAAAGACTAAAAACATTCTAAAATCATTACTTTGATCATTTTGCTAAGTAAATTGACTCTATGGTAGGTTAAAGGGTAATAACCACAGACACATTTGTGTCAAACATATATTCAAACTGATTGACTGTGTTTGTATTTTAAGTTTTTTAAAAGCAGCATTTGCAGAACTTAAAAGAATGACTATAATAGGATGACCTATTACAGTGGAAACATATTATACAGGTAACTATTTCCAGGCCATTCCTCTACCTGCTCATCATTCATATTCATACATTAATTGAAAAAAAACCCCAACTAAAGTAGCTGTTAGAAACTGCCCTCTGAACTTACCACCACATGTCACCTCTGACTTTTCCAGGATTCTACTTGCATGCTTTGTATGAAAATGTGCTTTTCCACCTCAAATCTCTTTTTAATTGAAATTGTTGGAGAAATAAAGCAGCAAAATGCGGCTTATCCCCGTCCCTCTGGCGAGCAGCTCCCGGTGGCAATAGGGGTCATGTGCAGAAATCTCCAGGAATAGGTGGAATAACTCGGATTCCTTAAAGCAGCAGGAACAGCAGCCAGATTTGAGGCCAATGTATATGAACACCCTAAGTTCAGAAAGTAATTTCAGCTGATCAAGATGAATGGATTTTATACAAGGTGGTCACTTAAAATTGTAGTTGTGGTGTTACTGGCACTGTCAGGTGGTAAGTGTAAAGCAGCATCCTTTGTGCTTAAACTCATGTGTGTGTGTGTGTGAACTTTAACATTTCCCAATGTTTGTATTTAACCATGTGCCTATGGGTGGTTCCATTACACACCCGTAATGTTGTTGGTCCACATGTTTCTTTGTCTGCACTCATGCTGATGTGTGTACTGCCTGCTGAGAGTGTGTGTACACGGCTGTGATCGGAGCCCCGTGGCGGCCCAGATAACACTATCTCTGCGGAGCCAGAGCCCTGTGGTTCTATTCAGGGCAGTGGATGAGAGGCTGGGACTGCCCAGCATGCGGACCTGCTGAAAGGAGGAGGAACAAGCCAAGCTGTCACTGTAGGGTAACCTGGCTTATAATGCTTTATAACCTCTTCTCTGGTGTCCCTCTGGGAGGCTCTGCATCATTCTAAGTGTGCCTGTGTTGTGTTGGAGAACACAGCACAACAATCACACTGAGGAGGGCAGAGAAAAGAAGAGGCTGGAGTCAGTTTTCATTACCATCGTGGCACCCTCTGCTTGTGATTAGAGCATAACAGGCATAAACAGGGTCAACTACCTGTCCTAAAGAAATTCAACATAGACAGAGGTTTTGCCTCCATATTGATTGGGGAAAGCATCTGAGCTACTTTCTTTGTGGGTGGGAAAGCAGACAGAGGGCATATGACCGGGTCCCTCACAAATTAGATCCTTCATTGTGCCACAATTCAAAAAGCGACAGTGGGAAAACACCCAAAGCCTGTTTTATGGCCCCCGAGGAACCCCTGAGAATGAGTGATTACATGCTCAGATAAGACTTAGTTCACACTGATAAATGAAACATTGGTTCACATTGTTGTGTAGAAGCAAGGACTCAGACATATATCAGGAAGGACATTAAGGAGGAGTCGTCCTCACTGAACTGAGCAGGCAGGAAATTATCATCCATCTCTGGTTTCCAGGTTCTCATCACATATTGATAACAGCGAAACAACATGACTTGATAGTGAGTGGTCTGACCATCATATAATCCGTCCACTGACTTGTTTGACAAAAGAGGAGGGACTTAGGCAGGAAATGCACCTAAATAGGTTTTCCAAAAGGCTGCTGATTATGGATGAAATGCAAATCGTAGTCCCATTTCAATCGCCTGCTTCATTTTGAAAGGAATTGCGGATGGTTAATTACAATAAAAGGGCTGAGGTGTACAACACTTAGGGGCCTCTTTTATTGAAAGAGATTATCAAGGTTTTACTCTTTGCATATTGGATCAGTTCACACAGTCAAGCTTACATGCATAAAGCACAGGATCCAAACTTGAATATCTAATTTTGAAGCAACAAACTCTTTATTAGAGGAGATATTGTCCTGCAAATGTAAAGGACTGGATCCGCAAATTAACCCACGCAAAAACCCTCTAGATTGCATTTTTGATGTTTTGATGTGCTAATTCTGTTTATTCAGGTCATGTGGTGTGGATAAATGCAGGTGTGCAAATAAAAAACAACGCAACAGCAACACACAGATGGCAATTGTG